TCGTTTCAAATTCACTCGAATAAATTAGGGAATTCCCAGGAGAAAAAATCTCACTTGCCCTTGGGGAGATTCTTACAGCCAATCATGGCCACATTGAAACACTGCCATGCTCTCTCCAACGAAGTATCCTGTATTCATGGGAATCTCTCATGTGAGAGGAAGTCTTGATCGGGAACTCACCATTTTCTGTATGATCGATTACTTTCATAAACCCCAAAAGCACATGTTACTTCTAGGACGTTACCAACCATTCGGAAGTGTTACTCACTAATATCAGCCTTAGTGATTCGTTGATTTAAATAGCTACTTACGAATTGTAATTTCTTCGCCTTACTTTTATCCGAAAAGAATAAAGGTTGTATTAAACAGATGATCACTGACGTGTCTGGTGTTAATGCGCCACTTTCAAAAGGCCCGAAGATGGATAACAGATACGAAAATTGAGGAGCACGTATTCTGGATCAATCCGGATCATCCTTTGTCTTCATTAGTTCTTATCACTTCGTCCGTCTGGCATGGATTGCATGGTTTAGTTCCTTCAAGCAACCAGCGCGAGAAACTCAAACCTAAGTCGGAGCATTGTTAATGGGGAGAGAAAAATGGAGTGAGAAGATGTTTAAAAAGACTAGTTCTTCCACAAAATCCCGGTGAAACAATCCCACATACTAGTGGAAGTTTCATTTCACAACGGCTCCTTTGTGACCCTCTCCTTTAGTCATCTTCGGGATATGAAACACCACTCCAAGACATTAGAGAGCTATCCTTCCTCTGGTTAATAATGAGAAATCTGTTGTCTAAATCGAATGTTAACCGACGTTTATGGAACAGTCCAAATTGTCTGGTTTTCCGTATAATAAAATGCAACCTTTAGGTGAATGTGGGTGCCAACCCAAACAGACGATTGCCAAACTAGCAACCAGAAGTCTCATTCTTTCTACTACATTCCCCCCCCCACACACACAAAGTGATCCTTGCTACATGAGTGTAGTAATTCATGTGAACAAAGTTTATCTGATATTTTGGATTGATTTCACAGTCCAAATCATCGCCTTGAGAGATTTAACTGCAAGAGTTCACAAGCATGCGGTTTATGAATCGATCGATACCAATTTTCAAATCGAATAATAGGACAGAGGACAGACAGGCAACGGGAAAAGCAACAACAATGCGTCCACCTCACAAAGGGTTGAATGAACTCGAAGAAATCAACGCACTTGGGTAAAAGAAACGAGTTGCAGTCCTGTTAATAACAATGATAGTGATAATGCTAAAAATCGTCCATTTGTGACACCCCTTCGGTGCCTAGCTGCCATAACACCAGGAGGAAGCACGGGAGCCGGGATACTGCCATATTGCCCAACCTTAATGACGAGCGGTGTAAATGCTGAGATTGGGTTTGAACCACGAACCGTTCGTATTTTAACCGCTGGCCTACATCAAAGACGTATAACAAGCCCATAAACCTGTTTTGAATTATGTGGAACACTTGATATCCGGGGATAAGCAATAGGTAGCGGAATTCCAGGAATCATCGTAAACCACGACAGATTCAATTGACTTCTTGTTGGACTGGATCCAGTCTGTGCACTATTGTACGGAAGGAAACGGCGTCCTAACCACAATACACGAATGGATCCCTCAAGAGAGTTATGATTCGCATGAGCTCACACGGAGGATCACCACATCCTGGTCGTAACTATGACAGATTGGGAGTTCTCAGAAACTGGGTGGCATTCCGATATCTGACATTTCAACTCGGATACCTTGCACATACAGCGTCTTTCTAGAAAATTCCCCATTCGGATTCGTGGAGCTGTTCCAATTCATCGTATGAAACGAAATAATGCTGTCCAGCAATTTTAAAAATTACGCATAACACTAACTAGCGACTATATGTTTCACGAGCACTTTCTTCTCGTTAATACAACCTAAAGTATTTGTTTTCCTGTACCAATTAGACTCCAGGTTAGTCCAGTAGTCAGCAACACTAACTCAGTTTGGATGACCAAATTTCGAATTCCCGAACTGATCGTACAGGATATTGCTTTGAAAATCACCACACATGTTCTATCTTTAACGAAGCACGTAAAAAGATCCCTTCGACACTTCATCTAACATAGTAAATCTCTACTCTGCATCCTTAGGTTGTTTTCCTTCGAGCTCGTAACACGATTTGGTTTGATTCTTCTGAATGGGATCTTCCATTGGCTAGAACTTTACCCTGGTCCGGGCCAGACGAAACCGAATGTGGAACGCAATGTCAATTTCGAGTTCAGTTGAGCGTCCGCGTCCATGGAAAACATAGTCTCCTTCAACGGCAGCAGACCGAGCAGTTTAAACTACACGTAGCAGTTGACATGGATGCTTCAATTGTGAATCTGGTCTACAAGCGACTGGCGGGTGTGAGCGATATGCAGAACGCCGGTGGCAATGGTTTCATGTCGATGGGTTTGTTACAGTCGGTCGTTACCATTACGATCACCAGAGATACGTTGATGAACACAAACCGTATGGTATTGTTGTCATTAACGCTTGAGCCTTAGTCCGCCCGAGTAAGACCGTACATTTGGAAACCCACACTCCTCAATCCAACCGACAGGCGAGAGAACGAGAACTGATATTTTGCAGGTAACTTTGAACTTGCCCTGGCAATTACACTCCATTGATTGCGAATGAATTGTTCAATGAGCTTAACAGTTTTGTTGCAACGTTTCGCCACCAATCGAGATGATGGAACGGCGAATACTACTGATGAGGTATACGAGTAGCCTGTGGTCGTTCGCTTTTCATCTAATGAAAGATGTAGTTTATTACTGAACTTGTGAAAGTGCTTCACAGCGTTCGTTTACAATTGCGTGGAAGTTCAAGAAGATGCGTAAGAAGGTTCAGTTTTTAGGTGAAACCAGTCTATTCTGGAAAACCCGGAAACACTGCACAGCCGTCTCATCCTCATCGGGAATAGTCGATAATTCGCATCTCACAGAGTCCCAAACCTCCAGGCTAGTAGTCTGAACACTCAAGCGTGAGAATTCGAGCGCCCGACAAGGAGTATGAGTAGCTCTCATTTAAACAGGGCAAAATGCCACTCATCCTTTAGTCACATTGTACACATCAAGTTGTCATTGGCCTGTCGGGCAACCACTCCTCACTCTAACGTCAATCTCAGAGGAATAAGAAACTCCGCCGGACAAAAGGAGCTTCCGTCTTAGATGTTACGTTGGTGCGGCCAGTGAACGCATTTCATCACGTGATGTAGACTATATGTGATTGAAGGATGAGCGGTGCCACATCCATTCTAAATGCGAGTGAATCACATTGCTCATCCGGAACTCGATTTCGAACGACTGTGTTCGAATTGCTACCAAACAGGAGGCCAAAGGTCCGAGGTTCCCTGCTGGACATTTATAACATACTCAATGTTGATGAGTTTCAATAAGAATGAAACAACCTTATCAACAAAGATTACCTTCACATATGGGACGAATGCAAAATTCCCGCCAACTCAACTGAAAGCTGTTTGGTTTCGGAATCTTACCTTGTGATTACCAACCCCGTAATATGAGCAGATCATTTCCTCACACTATTGGGGACCTGACCTCCCAACGTGTTTCCTCGAAAGGAGAAATACATTATAAAGGAAACTATTCACAAGGTTGCTGAAACTCAGTCGACAGCCCGCGACCGGTTTCGCCCTTCTTGGGGCTCATCAGGTAGGCGCAGTCTCCGGGTTTCCGTCAACCTTATGTTCCACTTGACTGTTTTCGAGAAATGCACTCATTTGCAAATCAATTTGGCTTGTAGAATGTTATAAACGAGAGAGTCAGTTGAGTCTCTCGTGAAAACCAAATTGATTTGCAAATGAGTGTATTTCACGAGGAATACTTTAATATTATGTTTGGACGTTCTCTACAACTGATCAGCTGCTTCATCAAATTCCGCATTTCTCCCGTTTTTTTTAAAAAAAACGATTTGGCAGGATCGTTCGGATCTCCCTCCCTCTTCATCCCTCCCTTACGGCCCTCACCATCAGGATGCCAACTGATCACGCTAATGCAAACACAACGAAAATTGCACACAATCGCAAATTTTCAGCTTGGTAGCATGCTTCGTTGGCGCAGAACTAACCATATTTTTCACTTCGATGGTGGTCTGCTTTTTAGCTTCTCACTGAAAAATCCCACCATAATTTTATGATTTCCAACAAGGTGAAAAAAATTTGGAAAGAGGTGGAGCCGTATTTATTTTCTGTACTTAAAATTCGGGGAGAACAGCGGAATAGACAGCGGAATAGACAGCGGAAGTTGTTTTGCAANTTGATTTGCAAATGAGTGTATTTCACGAGGAATACTTTAGTATTGTGTTTGTATGTTCTCTACAACTGATCAGGTCCTTCATCGAGTTCCACATTTCTTCTGTTTTTTTGATAACGAGGTGGCAGGATTGTTCGCAGCTCCCTCCCTCTTCAGTTCTTCCTTACTCCCCTCACCATCAAGATGCCATTTGGCCATGCTTATGCAAACACAACTAAAATTTCACACAATCGCAAATTTTCAGCTTGTTAGCATGCTTCGTCAGCGCTGAACTAACCATATTTTCCACTTCGAGGGTGGTCTGTTTTTTAGCTTCCAACAGAAAAACCCCATCATAATTTTATGATTTCCAACTGGGTAAAAACAAGTTGGAAAGAGATGGAATCGTAATTATTTTCTATACTTAAAATTCGGGGAGAACAGCGGGATAGACAGCGGAAGTTGTTTTGCAATCATCTGACGAAAACAAAGAGAACATTGAATTGCTTTTATGACAGTTAACTAGACCACTCTGACTGTCTGTCTATAGAGTGTTTATTCTGAAAACATCAGATATTTTGGAATCCCTTTCAAATGAACCGATAAAGCTTCAATTCAAGCTCCCTTAATTCCGCCGGCCAAGCATATGCCTAATCCTAGCAGGGTTGTGCCTACACATCATGTCGTGAACCTTCTGTATGAATACAGCGACTGACTGGAAGCTGATATTGATTGATTTAGATTTAATGGATGTCGTAAGATGTCAAAACAGTTTTGGGGACTCTAGCGTATTACCTTTTAGTGTAGATTTTCTCCTGTAAAAGGAGTCATTCTACACTGAAAGCCGAGAAGCACTGTACAGCCGTTTCAACTCACCAACAATGCTCATTTCACGAAGCTCCAGCAGGAAGTCTCAAATCCCTTGGACCTCCAGATTAGTATTTTGAACGCTTAACCTTTCGGCAACGTGATCAGCTCGCACTTGGATAGAATACAGTGCCTCCCATCCTTCAATCACAGAAATCGCACCACTGTCAGAAGTTGTCACTTGAGCAGTCAGTCAAACCATTTGGCAAGGTTCCAGGATCCTTCAACACAAAATGCATACGCCAAACTGCATTGGCACAGGAGACCTTTTCCGAGTTTCTGTGACCAAAGTAGGGGACGTAATTTATCAAAAAGGAGTCCTGTGTCTCATGAGAGATATGGTTCTAAGCTTAGTCACGACAATTTGGGATGTACCAGGGTCTGATCCACATCATATCGCATAAGGCCTGCCTCTTCGTGCTCCCTTAGTTGACCAATGTTTATACCTTTTACCCAGTTCGAAACGCCTGATGCCTTCTCATCTTCAATGTCTTAAATATCGATTATTCCTGCTTGTTCAGATGAGCGATGCTTGATTTTCAAAGTCCATTATCCATGTTACATGATGACAGTGGAGCGTTTCTGAGTGATGTGGGTTAGAGTAATGCTGTAAAAAGTTTTTAGTCCCTTGCTGAATATCTCAAATTAGCTAGTTAGTTAAATACCGTAACATCTTTGTGTGCTACTCCTAGGCAGAAATCAACAGCCACACTCTTTGATTTTAAAAGGGAACTAGTTCTTTGTACTTACTACTCATAAGGTTGCTGATAATCCGTCAACAGCCCACGACCGGTTTCGCCGTTTTTTGGCTCATCAGGTAGGTGCAGGCCCCGGGATTCCGTCAAAAGTATGTTCTACTTGAAACTAAATTGCACGAAATTACCGAATGTGCACTCATTTGCAAACTAATTTGGTTTTTCGAGAGACTCACCTGAAACCCAGCTGAACCTCAGGCAACTGAATGTGCTGCACTAGGCCGCCTCATGTTTCAGTCGCTACGATATTCGAGATACCGCGATACATGTATAACTTTTGGGGCTCATCAGGTAGGTGCAGTCCCTGGGTTTCCGTCAGCCTTATGTTCTGAACGAACTAATTCTTGTCCTTGGGAGTAGTACGTTTCAAGCCTAATCTTTTTCCTTAGTAGCTTTATTCAACCAATGCGGTACATTTTGTTAACCCAAATCGAATATACTTACTACCAGTTTTGATAAGTTGGTTGTTGAAGCGTTCTGTGATTAAAAGCACTTGGACCGCGGAGAAGATTATCACTTCTCTTTGAGAGAAGCTCATATAGGCATCCATCAAAGTGTTCGAGGCTGGGAGCTTGGCGTGAAGACCACTCAAAGGTACGCTGATGCAATTCATGGAATACGTATATCCTGTGAGCAGTAGTTAATACTACTTAGCCGCCTTTAGCCGGAAAATAGCGTGTCTTAGTTCCTCTTCGGAAAGTTGGGGTTCGAATATTCTGAGGATTCATGAGCTGAAGCTGATTCGCAACAAGTACTAATTTCCGTGTCAAATCAATCGTGCGCAGGCTTAAATGATTATGGTTGTGGAAAAACCGTGCTGACAAAAACATGAAAGGGTTCGAACCTTGCTGTTGACTGATTTTATTAACCCCGATTGACCTCTGATTGATCCACGCTCTTTTTACCCCCGTCTATTGTCAATAACATGGATCATTCATCTATCGGATTTAGCTGCCTCGAGAAGAAATGAGCAGAACGATTTATTCGTCCACCACTATGTAACTACTGGCCAAGGGGTCACGAACCAGTCCCTCTTTACCCAACTGAAAACAATAAATGGGTGTTTTCTGTTTCAGAAATGAACCAAATCACGTGGCAGTTAATCTCACTTTACCATGCCCCGCTGCAAACTACAAACATTAAACCATCAAATTAATGTTCGAGTTAACCGAAATGTGTATGCTTCGGCTACGAAAGGGGCTCAAGACGCTAGTTTGGTCATCCAAAAGTTTGTATCGACAATCGACGTTTAAACCATTTCCTTTCATTACCATCCACAGGCAACACAAATACTCTGCGAACTTGGTGATCCACTTGGCTATACCGGCAGAAATCTACGCCCGTTTGTATTCCAACTAAACACTGCCGGAGCGTTCCGCGAACTGGATGAACCAATCAATGATCAACCGGCCACAAGCCCGAATGCATCAGAATCGAACTTAGAGCCTTCATATAAACCACAGTGGTCACAATCAGATGACCACCTGAAACGGTCCAAGAGGGCCACTGTATCAAAGGACTCCGTCACAATCACAGCGGAAGTGATATGTGGCAACGAGGACCAGGACTTGCGAGATAACAAAGCGACAATTACGTACAAACTTCAGCTGGCTGCAAAAATTGAGGTTTGCTTCAATTTTTCTGGCCTGAGCTTATAGCGTTTCTATTTTTACGGAGTTGATTAGCCCTCGAATTAAGATGATTTCAATGAATTTTGTAGTTCATTTCCATATTCCTGGATAGTTTTTCTTCATGGCGACTGTGAACCACGTTGAACACCTTATTTACTGGGAGGATATCCAAGAGAAAGAGCCTGGGAATTTTGAAAGTTGCATCAGATCAGCGGTTTCCAACGGTTCTGCTACTTTCCGATTGGGGATGCTTTTTCAGGTTCCGGATTGTTTGAGCAATGTGGACGTGCTAAAAGGAGAGGGGAGTTGCCGCACAAAGAGTTGGCGAAAAACTGCTATAGCTCCATGATCAGGGGTTTCTCACGATCGCTTCACTAGGTTTGCCATCAAAACGCTATAAATAAAGCGTGATGTGATAAACACCTTGTCTAAATGAGCCGTAATCTACACAGCTATTGACAGTCGGTGTCGACTGCACACAGGGCCTAGGGTGGTCAAGCTACGCATTACTCTGGCTACTCATAAGTAGTCAAAAGTTTTATATTTCTTCATGCGCGCAGTCTTTCCCTTTCTGCCCAAGTGAACTTCGGCCGGCATTTCATAGACCGGGCATTTAAATGCTCGCATATTGCGGTCATTCAAGTTGTCTCTCCGTATGTCTGTTTCTGAACTTCCCAGGCCTGTTGCTCTATCCTCTGAGTGTTCGCGGATGGCAGTAGTGTGTGTTGCCACCAGCCAGTTGACCAAATTCTCGCAGTCAAGCACATGACCACTGACTTCTTAACTGTGAGGGGCGAGATAGCTCAAGTGGTTAGAGCGATAATTTACTGACCGGAACGTCCGTGGTTCGAATCCGACTTGTGCCTCTCCACTTCCCTTGTCCAGGCTTGGGCAGCCAGGCAGTATCCCAGCCCACGTTCCCCCTGTCCAGGCTTGGGCAGCCAGGCAGTATCCCAGCCCACGTGCTTCCTTCGAGTGGCACGGCAGCTAGGCACCGGGAAGATGTTACAGCTGAACGAGCTTAGTAGCATAACTGTGGCTTGGTTGTTCCGCAGTTTGAGTTGTAACCACAGGCATTGTGGTACGCGCTTTGAATCACGACGTTTCGCAGTGTGTTGAGCGCTTGTCGACCGCTTTTCCTCCGTATTCCTCACTCTTTATCTTTGGCGGTAATTGATTTTTTTCCGGTAAACTGATTGATATTACAGACCTCCTTCTTTTAAGAGACTGTTGTGGACCACACTCCCTTAATGCCTTTTTATTCCCACGAGCCCCGGTCTGGATAGCCGCTTGATCGCCTGCGTTTGACCAAACCAGAAAAAGTCAATGGACATGCGAACCGGCTGATCTATTGATCACTTTCGCGTACAAGCGGTCAAAATAGTGATACTAAGAATGCAACTCATCTGTCAAGGGCGAGTGAAGAAAAACCAATGAAATCTGTCTCCAGTGGCTGTCATGTGGTCCCGTTACGTCTGGAGCTGGTTCTCCTAAGAGAGACCAACCGCCCTAGAGTGATGTATCCGTGCTTCCAAATGGATGATATCTTCGGATCGTCGAATATAGATCCTTTCTTACCAGCAGTGCACATAGCTGCAAGCAAACGACGGACACCTGACACCAGAAACGAAAAGCCTCTCAGGAACTGGACCAACCACAATCAGTGATACACAGGAGTACTAAATTGTACGGGAGATGTCGAAGCCTTTTCAACAGCTTGCTAGTTAGTGTCTCATCAAGGAGGATGACTTCTGTGTTCTTCTGCGGAAGACGGTAACACCTTAAAAGTGTACAGTTAATACTGCACATCTGTAAAACTATGACGCATAGTCCAATGCTTATTTTGATGCAATAATCGACTGAAAGTATTACTGTTCGAGGGTACTCTTCATGGCGGTCGGTCCTCGAATGATTTTGGTAGGTCATTTCCATATTCCTAGATAAGTTTTCTTCATGGCGACCGTGAACTTCGCTGAGCACCTGATTTACTGGAAGAACCTCCACAAAAAAGGGCGTAATCGACACACAGCTATTGACAGCCGGTGTCGACCGCGCACAGGACTCAGGGTGGTCAAGCTATGCATTACTCAGGCTACTCATAAGTAGTCAAATTTTAACGACCTTATGCGTGCAGCCCCCTTTCCCTTCTGCCCAGAGTGAACTTCGACCGGTATTTCGCAAACCGGGCATTTAAATGCTCGCATATCTCGGTTATTCATGTTGCCTTGTTTTTGAGGCTCGATTCTTCGTTAAGAGCAATGCACATAGCTACAAGCAGACAACGAACACCTGACAAAAGCAACGAAAAACCGCACAGGAAGTGGACCAACCACAGTCAATGATACGAAGGAGTTCTAAATTATTCGGGAGCTGTCGAAGCGTTTTCAACAGCTCGCTAGTTAGTGTCCCATCAAGGATAATGAGTTCTGTGTTCTTCTGCGTCACACAGTAGCATCTTCAAGATGTACAGTTGATACTGCACATCTGTAGAACTATGACGCATAGTCCAGCGCTTATTTTGATGCAATGATTGACTGAAATTATTACTGTTCTTCAGTTGTCCTCATCTGCTTTGGACCGAACCACAATCGATACGAGAAATTTCACGGTTCAACTCTATGAAATGCAACGCATACACCCGGAAACCTTGGGACCAGAAATCAAACACATCTATCTGGTTTCTAACGACGGTCCGTCTCCCATCGAAAACCTCTGGGTCAATGTTTCGCTCCCAATCCAGACATCAGAAGGTGAACGACTAGGCTACATCCTGGATCGGGTCAGATACCACGCTGAAGATGGTGGACCTCCATTGATAGCAGCCACAGAACCGGAAGTGAGTTAAGCGAATTGGCAGTGTGTCATGAAGAGCGTGCTCCACCTTCACCTCTTTTCAACCACTTCACTCATTCTCACAAAGAAATAGTCGGGAAAAACGATTGAAATGCACCCGAGGGTAGTAATAACTGAAAATGAACAAGCCTTAGACCAATACTCTCATTTGCATACCAATGTGGTTTTCATGGGAGGGTCACCCAGCTGAGTACCTCGTTTATGATGTTTTTCAACTGAACGTGCCGCTCAACCTTCCAGCTGATACGATGTTCGAGATATCGCACTACACTGTACAGACGTAACATACTACTCATAAGGTTGCTGAATAATAAAGTCATAAACGAGAAACTATGCTGGAATTGAGTGGAGTCTCTCTCGGAAACCAAACTGGTGATCAAACCTGTGTGGTTGCTAAATTTCGCGCTATTTTAGTCCAAGTAGAACACATGGTTGAGGTGAACTTGGGGACTGCCCCTACTTTATCAGCCCAAAGAAGGGCGAAACCGTTATTGGACTTTCGAATAGTTTCCAGCAGCCTAATGAGTAGTGTTACGTCCGTACAATGTTTTTGACCAGCCCTTGAGCTTGAGTATTAGGTAAAAAGTAATTTTGTGTTTTACGTAACAATCCCCCCATATTTGCACGATTCATATAAAAACCACGTTTCACGTGAGTCTTATTCAAACGTATAAGTGTGTCCGGAAACGCACCCCGAAACTTCAGAAACCAACTCAAATGAACATCGGCACGCCTGTTGTGCACCACATTCGGTTGAAGAGGGTTTACACCGAGTTCCATTTGGAGTTGATATGGAAATGTGTGTGCAACTCCGCTTCGGCACAATTTAGTGTTCAAATATGAAACAATTTAATGGAAATTCGGGGTCATGTCTAAGAAATTAGCTTCTAAGAAGGAGGAAACCGGTAATCCGCTGACTAGAATGTCTTGTCATCCTTATAAGTGATGTAGAGGGTTTCTCTCAAATCGCTACGTGCATTACATGGTTCCGACGACATTCCCGACACGACACTGTGTAGCGAGAATTGTCAGGTAAGCACAGTCCACGTGTTTCCAGTTGAACACCTACTTGAGCAAGCACGTCCGTTTCATTCTTGTTGAAGGTCGTCAACAATATGCATCTTACACATAATGAGGATTTTTTGGATCTTGTACTTCATGGATGACCGAAACTCTGCGGGAACTCGTGCGAAACAAATCAACCATCACCATCCACCCTAAACATTCCGTTCTGTTTGAACTAATCCCATTGTCCTCCACCTTATTTGCATGTATCTCGATAAAGGAATAAGCAACTCCCCCAGGTGTTTATAAGTATGCAGCCCAAACGTTTGGAAATGTACCGGAATACAGGTAGCTTGGATGATTTCATTGATCGTTGATCAGCTAACCGGTGATCTGTTCGCCAGGCTTGGCAACCAGCTAGGAAGCGTTTCGTTACCGATCCAGTTGACACCATCAGTGTGCGATAATGATATCTCGTTGTTTAATTACGAAACGTTTGCCAACCGATTGGCAAGCTCGTGAACTGATCAACGACCATCTGATCAACCACAAAAGATCGACTTTTGTTCTCTGAGTTGGTCTGTT